AAGTGGAATCCCTGTGATGCCCAGTGATGAGAGAGCGGACAGGAGGATCTGATGATTCAGTGTCAAAAGCAGCAGATAGATCCAGCAAAACAAGAACTGATGATTTGGAATCAGCTTTTGCAATCCGCAGGGCTTCAGTGACTGACAGTAGCGTAGTCTCAGTTGAATGACGACTCCTGAAGCCTGACTGGTTAGCATTCAGTTGGTTGTTCTCATGTTTTGTGAAAGAAATAATGATACCTTGTTAAAAACAGCTCATTCGAGTGTTTTTGCTATGAATGGAAAAAGAGAGACAGGTCTGTAGCTATCTATAAGTGAAGTGTTTAGTGTAGGTTTTTTTAGCAGTGGGGTTACCCGAGCCTGCTTGAATGCAGTGGGGAAGGTGCCTGTGAGGAGAGATGTGTTGATGATGTGTGTGAGTGCTGGTAAGAGTGTAGGAGAGATTGCTTGGAGAAGATGTGAGGGGATTGGGTCTAGTGGGCATGTTGTAGGATGGCTAGAAAGGAGAGGTTTGGATACTTCTGCCTCAGTGAGGGGACAGAAGGAGAAGGGGGGAGTTTTAGGCGTGGATGTGGTTGGTTTGAGGTCCTGTGTGTGTGGGGCTGAGGAATTACTGATTGTTCTAGTTTTGTTTGTGAAGAATGTGGCGAAATCATCAGCTGTTATAGAAGTGGTGGGAGGTGGTGGAGGGGGACAGAAGAGAGAATTTAATGTTTTGAAGAGGTTACGTATGTCTGGAGCGCTGTTGATCTTGTTTTGGAAATATGAAGATTTGGCAGTGTGGACTTCAGCAGAGAAAGATGAAAGCAAAGACTGATACATACATGATACATTTTCTCCCTGCTGCCCTGAGTTTGGACTGATGCTCACGAAGAACATCGGAAAGAAAGAAAGAAAGAAAGAAAGAAAGAAAGAAAGAAAGAAAGATTTGTCTTGGCAAATCTGAGAACAGTGTAAAGCATTGTTGAGATCGCTTCTGAAATATGAGAACTTTTTTTTTTTTTTTGCCCAGAAACTGATATACACAGCATTTTAATGAACAACACGATATATAATGAAAATCTACAACATGTGAAATAAGAATAATGTAATGGAATAACAGAATAAATACACAAGGACCTATGTAGCGTAATGAGAGGAAGCAGCTGGACCTGGTGCTGGAGAACATGTGCTGATCCTCTGAGTGTTCTGGACCTTTCTTCTGGTCCGCTCTTCATAGAATCAGACTAGACTTCATAGGCCACTCAATGCCACACATTGTTTTTTGAGCAGATGCTTACAATGGTTTGAAAGAGAGAGTGAGGTAAACCAGAATACTCACAATATAAGTGTTGCAGTAATGCAGTCATCTGCTATCAATGACATCCTCTTGTAATAAACTAAATTGTTTTCTTGGAATAACGGAAATCCTGAACTTGCAGTTTGTGGGGAATTCTGATTGTTTTCTGATTACGTTTCTCCTCAGACAACCCACACCTGAAAGAAGATCCTCCACCAGTCCCCTCCCAGATGAAAAGGTCAGATATGATCATTCCTGAAAGTGTTTTAAACACAAAAGAGACGGTTTGCAGAACTGCGCCATAAAGGTTTCCCCCTGCTTTTATGGTGCTTCCTGTCCTTTTGCCCTTTGTCAGTTTATGCTTTTATAGTATAGAATAATGCAGCATGATCGTCCTCAAAATACACAGGTTTGAAACAACTGAGTAAACATTGACAGAATTTTCCTTTTTGAACGAACTAGTCCGTAATTGCACGTCTGATATGGCTCATGTTAATGTGAACTCTGCTGTCACCTAACTGCGGTGAATATTACACAGAGCAACCCTCAGATCAAACAGCACAGTCCTTGAGACAAAAGAGACAGTTCCCTCGCAGAGAATTCACTTCTCCGCTGAGAGAGAGAGAGAAAGCGAGGAACCCAGGGAGGTAGAGAGAGAAGGAGTGAATCAAAAGACTGGAAAAGCATGGTAGAGAGTAAACGCTGACTTCTCCCTGAGGTGATTTGTCTTTTCGCTGCTCTCTCTACAGATGTTGGAGCCCCTTTTTTCCAGTAAAGACCTGAGGTTCTTTGCTAGGACTTTGATATCCTACTCGAATTCAATATGTGAAATAGTAGAGCCACTCTGTGACTTGGAGCACATCGCTGAGCTTTGAAGTCTGATCCAATTTTTGCTGCTCGCCATTTGATGTTGAAAGGATGAGATGAAGAAAACGTACAGTTTTTGCCAGTAACTCTGCTGAGCATATGTAAGATTAAAACAGCCCGCTCCTTTGGAGGGTGTACTTAGAAATGTTAAGCAGATTAATTCTTTCCTATAGCTCTTTTATTCAAAGATAAAATTAAATGTGTGTGGAAGTCTGCGAGGACGGCCTGCGTTATTTCCTGCATTACAATGAAGCGAGTGTGACGAGAGAGAAAGAGAGGGAGCACGCTGGTGCCAGTGCATTAGCACTTACTGTTGCCAAACACCGTGTTAATGGATGCTCCAAACCAGCCTGCTCTTAATAAATCACTTCAATTAATTCACACAAAAGACCCACTGCTGTTTTATTCATTATGATGCGCTTGTTTGTATTTGTTCGCTTTGTTTCCTGATGTGCTTTCTGTTGACGTGGGTATGTGTGTGCATTTCTTTTCAGGTTGTCTCTGTCAGCAGAGAGGACAGCTCCAGTGACGCGTCTGGGCTGAAGACAGACAAACAGAGTGACAGCAGAGAGAGAGACGGGCTGCAGGAGCGACCGGCACTGAGCAAGCAGGGTGAGTCCACACACACATTTATACACACGTGTGTGTCTGCGTCTGCTGCCGCAACATTCCCATAGTCCCGTATGAACAAAAACACAGACACACAAATTACCCAACATTTACTCTCCCTGTTGTTCTTCCAGTTTGACTTTTGGAACAACTTAACTCGTTTTTTATTTCCATAAAATGAAAGTGTGACCAGATGTCAAGGACAAAAATACCATAAAAGTACTTCAGCACCTTCAAAATTGGATCTGTGACATGACACATGAGATAAGGCATCACTGAAATCAAATCCTGCACAACACGTCTTTATGCCAAGTTTGAATACACAGAAGAATCCCTTGTGAAAAAGAAGTACACTCTAGCATAGTTTTAAAAGCTGCATTTATTGTGGAAATATCGTACTTTAAAAGAATTTACGGTAACACTTTATTTTAAGGTACATGTTACATGTACTTACTATTATAATAACAATACATTATGCATAATTATGTGCAAGTAACCTTAACCATATAGTAAGTACATTTAGTTAATTAATATTACTCAGTACTTAAATGTATAATTAATCTGTAACAATGACACATTAAAATAAAGTGTAACCGAATATACAATGCTAAGTGTGAACTGAATGAATGAAAGGAAAATGTCTTATAGTTTAAATTTATATTAAGTGCAGTTAGCTGAAATTTAGAGTTCTTTTTTCACCCACTTAAGTAAGACTTGTATGCAATTTCATAATTCTATTGTCTTTGAAAAATGTTTAAAGTGTGCTGCTGAAGCATTTATGATAAACTAAAATATAGTTGAATTTCAATTCTGTTATGCTGTATTTAAATATATTTGCCATTACATATTTGTAATGATAAAGGTGTAGTTTAGTACATTGAAAATATATTAATTTTAAATATAATATTGAATAACAATACAGGTAAAATTATAATCAAGTACTTTACATGTGCTTTAGTTTTATGTTAAAACATCAAAAATAGGTGAACTTCTTTAAAGCATGACAAAATGTTTTTTAAATGTACTTTAACGTAAAACTTTTAATTAGCCATTATTACAAAATGCACTTTTATAAGTGAACTTAAGTGTGTTAAGAAACATGAAAGTGAACTATTTTAAAGTATACTTAATTAGCTTTTTATTTCCTTAATTTTATTTTCCAGTACTGTTTTTTTTTAAGAAGTACACACTTAAGAACTATACGTTTTATACAATTAGGTGCACTTCTTTTTCAAAAGAGGTGTAGGAGATTTGAAAGCTACAGAAAAAAAGATTTTTAGTGAATATGACCTATTTTCACTTCCTTACACAAAGATTTAGTGTGGATCACAAGTCATATGAACTACTTTATGGTGCGTTTTAAAGTTTGACATGAATGAGCAGCACAAGCATTCTGCTAAATGTCTTCTTCTTTTTTTTTATAAAGTCATGCAGGTTTGTAAGTACATAAGGGTGAGTAAATGATGACATAATCTTCATTTTCTGGCTAAACTATTCCTTTAATACCAGAAGTACCTGCTTTTCTCTCTCTCTCTCATTCTTGTGTCCTGTCATATCAGCTTATGGTTTGGCTGACCTTTCAGTTTCAGGCCAGACAGTGGATGAGAGGTGTGTGTCTTTGTCGAGGGTTTTTAAAAATCACACCAATCACATCAAAGACTTACACACGCCAGCGACTCTATTAAACGCTCACAGTTACAGTGACACAGAGACCAAAACACACATATTTGCTGAACATATGTTTGCTTTGTTTTTCGCCCTGGGCTGTGAATTCCATTAACGAGAGCTGCCTGGGAGGAGTGAGTGTGTGTGTGTGTGTGTGTGTGTGTGTGTGTGTGTGTGTGTACAGGTATATATGGTTTATGAGGACACAAATGTGTATAATGACATGGGTACTACAACGTAAACATGGTTTATGAGGACACTTCCTGTGTCCCCGTAAAACAAAAGGCTTAAAAAACATACAAAACGGTGTTTTATGAAATAAAAAAATTGCAGTATTCTGTAAGGGGTAGGTTTAGGTGTAGGGCAATAGAAAATACAGTTTGTACAGTATAAAAACCATTACGCCTCTGGAGAGTCCCCGTAAACCACAAATACAAGTATGTGTGTGTGTGTGTGTGTGTGTGTGTGTGTGTGTGTGTGTGTGTGGATACACAGAGAGAGGGAAGGTGTGTCAATCAGCGGGAGAGGCGGTGCTGCTGGGATAGGTTGCCGGGGGTCCATCATTAGAGTGATTAGTGAGGAAGGTGTGTGTGGGGGTGGGATTGAGATTAGCTGTGTGTCCGCGGATTACCGGATTAAGACAGATAATGTAACACACACTCGGCTCTGCAGTGGCTCCGGATTACTGTCAGATCACCACAGCGCGCCTGGGTTAGACAGCTGCGCTAACTCTGTGAGACTGAGAACAGGTGACCCCGCTCATCCTGTCTGTCTGAAACACACACACACACACTGGAGATGACATACACTAACACAGAAAAACACTCAGTGTCCCTTCTGGTACAATGCTACTCTTAATGATTCATTTAATGATTATTATTTATACAATTTTGTGTAAATTATTGGTTTTATGGAGGTAGTGTGCACCTGGTATATTAAGATTTCAGTTATGGAAATTCAACTTTAAACTTGAACTACTGAATCAACAGAAACAAGAACAATGATTAAAAAAAATCTATATTTAAGGATTTATTTGAATACAAAACTTAAGACAGGAAAAATGCCATGTAGGGACTTCTGGGAAGTTCTTTTGAATGATGAAGATTTTTATCAGTAATCGGTTTCAAATGGGACAGTCCTGGACTAATGATTAGAGAGTCAGCCTTGTAACCCAAGGTTGCGGGTTCGAGTCTCAGGTCCGGCAGGAATTGTCGGTGGGGTGAGTGAATTACCAGTGCTCTCTCCACCCTCAATACCACGACTGAGGTGAGACCCTTGAGCAAGGCACCGAACCCCCAACTGCTCCCCAGGCGCTGCAGCATTGGCTGCCCACTGCTCTGGGTGTGTGTGTTTGTTCACTACTCACTGCTGTGTGTGTGCACTTGGATGGGTTAAATGCAGAGCACAAATTCCAAG